GGACCCCCCCCCAATCCCCTGCACCCATGTTTGGCACCATGGGTGGCTGGCTGGTGGGCCGTGGAAAGATTTATGTTGAGTGGAGAAAAAAAGTTTGCACCCCACTGCTGTTGCTAACCCTGCGCGCCTCTTTCACAACCAGGGCCATGGCACTCCTACCAGGAACCCCGCTGGCGTCCTGGCTGGTCAATCCCCTGCACCCGGGGGGAGGGGGAGCAGGGCTCAGGCAGGAAGGGCAGGTCAGGTCGAGACAGGCATCATCCTGGAAGGCCGGTACCTGCAGGCGAACCCGTGTGTCCCAGCTCAGGTGTCCCCGCCCCCGCCTGCCGCGGCTCAGCCCCCTCAGAGACAAACTTGCGCCTCTGACAAGCCTGAACGTGGCTTGTGTTAGCCGCTAGCCCGGGGGCTCGGTTTGCAGCCTGATGAGCCCGGAACGCCAGGCTGGCACAGGCGACGCGCAGGGCACCTGCCCAGCCAGGCTCAGGTGGGGGGGAGAGGGGGCCGCTGAAGGGAGCTTCTTTTGCTGAGGGAGCTCGTCCCTGGGCGTAAGGGACAGGCTGGGAGCCTGAGCGAGGCCTCTGTGGGGGATGCTGCCTGTAGGAAGAAGGCTGGACATGCCGGTGGAGGAAAGGCGGGTACCAGGCCAGCCAGGGAGGGCGGGGCTGAGTCCTGAGGGGTCACGCAGGCACAGAAAGACTCAGCATGATGGCCCAGGGGCTGATGCAGGCCCAGCTGTGAGCCCCCCCTTTCAGGAGAGCCCCCCCCCAGCTGAAGGTGTGCCCTGGTGTCTCCCTCTTCACTCCTGGCCAGGAGGGCGGTAATCCTCCACCCACCTCCACCAGGCCCTGAGGCGGGGTGCGAGGGCAGGAGAGTGATTCTGGGCGACAGGCACACACGAATCCTTTGGGCTTCCCCCAGCGACTGGAGCGTCCCTCCGTGAAACAGCCCGGAGCCAAGAGGCTATTAAACAACACTGTCACCCCCCAGCACTGCCTGGCAGCGCAGGGCTGGGGTAGCAGGGCGAGGGGCGGAGCTGGTGGGAGGCATAAGCCGGCTAAGCAATTGCTTAGTATCCAGAGCAGCTCACCCCACCCCACCCTCAGTACGTGTGACCGGGAAGGGGAAATAATTCTGCTTTGGGCCCCATGGGCCAGCACCAGCGAGGGAGGGGCTGTGGGTCGGGCTTGAGGGGCAGAGGCAGAGCTGTGTGTGCATGAGACTGTGCCCAGCACCTGGCGGTGGGCAGCCGGGTTATGGCCTCGCTTTCCCAGGCCCTACGGGGCCAGGTGTGAACTCCTCGCACGCCCTCCCTCGCACTAGTGCCCCCCTCCCTCTCTCTGCCTGCCCCACCTGCTGCAGGGGCAGCCTTACCTCCGGGGCAGCTTGCTGGGCACCCCTCCATGCCCAGGCTGCTCAGTGAGTTTCTTGCTGGCTCCGTGCAGCCCCAGGGCAGATTAGACCCTGTGCTCCCGCAGGCGGGCCTGACCTTCTTACAGAGACACGATTAGCGAAGATTAAAGCCACGGAGGCCGGTCTCTGCGGGGCGGCGATGGAGACAAGCATCCGATCGCCCACAGCGGGGAGCGGGCTTATGCGAGCCGGGCGATAGCTACCTCCTCCAAGAGAATCATGGCTGGCACTCTCGCCCG